CCCCCGACCGCGACCCTCCCGATCACAGCCCCCGCAGCGACCGGGCCCCGAGAATCTACACCAGGACGGGGGACGCAGGTAGCGCCCGGGGGCGGGGGTCACCGAGGGGAGCGTGAGGCCGGGCCTGGCCTCTGAGCGCCTCTCCTGGGCCTTCTCCTAAGGCTTCTCCAGCACCTTCACCGGGGAGCGGAGGCCGAAGGGTGACCGGATCTTCGAAGCCCTGGGAGCCACAGACGAACTGAGCTCGGCCATCGGGTAAGCCCTGCCCGGGGTCGGGCGGAGAGGCCGTGGAGGCCCTGCCGGCCCCTGCCAGGGTGGCTGTGCATTCTGGGGAGCCCAGGCCTTCCTCTGCCTGCACAAAGGCCTGGTGACACCGGCCTGGCTGCCTTCTGTGGGGGTCTGTGGGCATCCTCTTCCTCCAAGAGCCGCTCTCCCAGCCCCAGCATCGAGCAGGAGGGAAGGGGCTGTGCTGTGGACCAAACTCTGCAGAGCCACACTGACAAACACCCAGGAGTGTCCAATTTCTGTGTTTTTCTAATGAAAAATCATAGTGATTTTTCTATTTCCAGCTGACTTTTCATTTTCTTTAACCTAGGCTCGCTGGTGAATTTAGCAGTGAAAAGGGCCACGTGTTTGTTGATCAACTTCACAAAGTGAGTATTAATGACAGCCCTCACCCAGTGCAGTCACTTCAGCTGTGCTATTGAAACATCTTCTTAAACTCTCTGATTTTAGATGCAGGAATTTAATAAATGTAGTATTTAAACAAATAAATAAATACTTTAAGATTCTGGCCCTTGGTTACTCTCTAAGAAATCAATTTCTTTAACCAAGAAGGAAACTGGTAGCTCAAGTGATTAGTTATGGGCACACAAACATGTCCCTAGGTTTATTCGGACCTGTTACCGTACATGGTCATGGACACAAACCTTGTTTTCATAGAGCCTTAGATTTGAAATCAGGGTAAAGTCACCACGTGGGCACAACAGTGGGAGGCAGGTCCTGCCATGGCCGGCTGTGGGGTTTGCCTATTAGCGTTGCTGTGCACAGGAATGCAGCAGGAGCTGATCAGAGACTTTAAAAACCTTTACCAGCCTTGCCTCTCATGTACCCCAGACTGTGGAGAGATGCCCCTCTCGGAAGTGGACGTGACATCGAGCCAGCACTGCCTGCAGCTGCTTGCCACTGCCTTTCTTCCAGGGGTTACTGGTTCGCTGTCCTACCAGCAAAGGGATTATGTGAGCCCTCCCCAGTCTGCTTTCTGCAGAGTCAGCCAGGGTGGTTTAATGTGCCAGTGAAAACAAGTACATGCGCTAATCTGGCTTCTCATAAAGCAATTAGGGAGCACTTATCTGATCCCCCCTGCCAGCAGGCTGGGGGATGATGAACAACAAGGGTAGCATCTTCTTTAATCAGCACAACCAGCTGTCGCTTCCCAGAGCTTGCTGCGGTTGTACCAGAGCATCAAAGGCTGGTTAATGAAAGCGCTGCTTATTTTTGTCCTGATTGCCACATCTAGGTCCAGTGCATGCTGCAGGATGTGGGTTCCAACATCGCGACGCCTCTCTCCTCAGCCAGGGAAGCTCACTTAAGTAAGCCCTGTGGTGCATTCCTGGGGTAATGGTTCTTGAATCGCAGCTGTCCTTCTAGACGGGTGCTGGGGAGGCTGGCTGGGTGTGTGGCAGTTCGAGCTGCCCAAGGGCTGCTCCATGACATGTGTCTGGTGCTGAGTGGAGTCAGGCATTGTCCCACAAGCTGCTGCTGCTGCTGCATTTGTGTGACTCAAGCGATTCACGCTGCCCTGGGGCGCTGCCCCAGCACCGACACGCAGTCATGGCTGCTGAATGGGGAGCCAGCCCTGCTCTAGCAGGAGAGGTTTTTTGGGATGCTTTCTTTGGACTTACTGATCTAAGAGATACAAAAATAGAGCTCTAGCTGTAGACTGAGTCACTCCTGCGTTTCTTTTAGTTGGTTCTTCTTTTTCCTCTCCAGAACGAACATCTTTTAGTGAGAAGCCAGTTGTGGAGCTGGAGCAGTGGATTGACAGTTACACCCAGCAGCTTCCTCCGCTCCGAGCTTTCATCTTGCCTGTAGGTACAGCTTCTGCCTCTCACTGACTGGAGAAGGGTGAGGGTAAATCTGCTCCACCGCTTGCCGTGGGAAAACAGGTTGGGAGGCCGTTATTTGCATGGACAAATAGCAAAAGAAAACCAGAGAGAAGGATGCGGTTGAGTTAAATTTCCACGTCCAGTTGCCTACCTGTAACATGGGGTTCGGCTGCCTGGGTGTGTGGCGTGCCAAGCTTCGCTGCAGTTACAGTCGGGTGCATGGCTGAGCCTGCTGTTAGCAGACATTGATGCTGTGTTTCGTTCTCCTTTCAGTCAGGAGGCAAAAGCAGCGCCGCTCTGCACTTCTCCAGAGCTGTCTGCCGCAGAGCTGAAAGGTGGTGAGTGTTGGCTGGAGTGTAACAGAGTAACGCTGTTAAAAGGTGGTCAGAACACTACAATGAGCAAATCACTGCAGTTGGAGCAGTCAACCACAGCTGCATTGCACTGGGCTAGAGCTTGAGTCAAGCTTCCTGTTTGTGTTAGTCAAATTCCAGGGGTGCAGTCAGCAAAAACCAAGTCTCTCTCCCATCTGAGCAGAGAACTTCAGACAGAACAGACAGGTTTGTGTTGAGATGCCCAGCTCTTGTCTGCTTTACTACAGATAATTTGTAGGCTAGCGCACCTGGAAGCTGGGGCATGGGCAGGTGTGAGATCCAGGGAAGCTTTTAGCACCCTGAGGTGTTACTGCCTGCACCTACCTTGTCCCACTTCTCTACTGGAGAGGAAAACTCCCCTGCTAAGGTTGTAGAAGTAAACTCTTGTCTGCTCATTATGTAAATCACTTCCATGTGAAGTCTCTTGTGTTAGCGTGAACCTGCTCAGCAGCAGATCCAAGTTGCTGGGGGTTCTCTCCCGGAGCTGCTGATGTGCAGGAAGATGTTTTTGTGGCTGTGCTCTGCTGTGAGGATTGCTGCTCTGACAAGATACACTGGAGCAGCGTGATCTTCAAAAAACTAACATCACAGCCAGTGGTTTCTTGTCAAAAGAGACCTGGGAAGAGGGCTGTACGCCAGCCAGGAGGCAAGGAACAGCTCTGTTCCCTCCACAAGGAAGGCTCCCTGTTTACCTGCAGACAAGGATCATGATCCTGCAAACCACTCCTGCTGTTCAGTGATACCCACCTGAGCGTCCTTCAGAGGAGCGGAGCTGCAGCCCTGCAGAACAGTTACAAAAATGAGTTGCATCATTTGGCCACCACCACAGATCCCTCTTGGGGAAGCAAAGAGTGTTCCCATGTGGTGGGGAGTGAGAATGGGGGCTCCAGGTGGGGTTGGGGTGTGGAGGTTGCTGTGTGCTCCAGCAAATCGCAGTCCTTTGTGCAGTCAGAGTTCGAAAGCTAAATACCCTAAGATTTTCCTGTTCTTTTTCTAGCGTGGTTCCTTTGGTACAAGCAGGGGAAGCAGATCCAAATGTGGCCAAGTATTTAAACAGGTAGAAAAATTAAAATCCCAAATCCTTACTCTGTACTCCTGAAGTGTGCCTGGGGTTGTTCCCTTAGGTTTGGGACGAAACCGCGGGGCTTTACCTCTCCAGAAGCTTCCTTTCTCTAATAAGATCTTTAAAGTTTCAACAAGGAGCTTGTTCAGAAGCGTTCTCACAAGGCCTGTACGTTTGCAGACGCTGCCGTGGTGCTGAGGGAGCAGTCAGCTTTCTTACTGAGAGGCATTTAGGAAAGCTGCTTCTCCGGTCCCTCTTTGCCAGCCTTTCCCTCCCATTCCTGTGCTGGAATCGGATGTGCTTTCCTGTGTCGTTGTGCATTGCTGATACAAACTCTCCTGATGTGAGAAGCGGTTTCACTGCTTTTCCCTTGGTTTCCAGGCTGAGCGACTACCTCTTCGTTTTGGCACGTTACGCTGCGATGAAGGAAGGGAAGGAAGAGAAAATATACATAAAACCCGAACCGTAACTGGGACCTGCAGTGTTTGTTTCCTTCATCATGGGAAGCCAAATCCAGCAGGCTGCTTTCCCCCGGCAAGGAAGGGGAACAGA